TGAAGGTGTGTGCCTGTCAGCCATTTGGGGACATACTGCGATTTTCACTACCTCTCCTGCAGAAAGAGATAAAATAAACGGTCCCATCACTTACTTTTCCTGCTGTTCTGCCACTGCTAGTCTATCTGCATCTGGATCAGTGGCCACTACCACTTTAGCATTTTCTTTCTCTGCAAGCCTCAGTGACAACTCCTGGTGGGAGAAGAGGGAGGGGGAAAAAAAAATAAAATCACAAGAGCAAATAAACCCAGTCTTCCTAGTTATATATAACATGCAGTGAAAGAAAATCTCATACGGATTGCCCACTGTATTAACACAGCTGAAAGCCAGGTACTCCCTGTTCTCTTCCTCAATGTGTTTTTCAACACAGTATCATATCCAAACAGAGGAAAGCTCATAGAAATCTGATGAAGTAGAAAAAAAATACCAGCACAGATTCTCCTTCTTCAGGATTTGGGCATTTGACAGTAGAGAAGTCTGGATCTGGATCTTTTTGTTCAGGTACTGGAATGGGGGGCTGAAAGCCAAATGCTTTGAAAGCCAACTGCACATAGTCGTGTCCAACTCCATGGAAAGAGGTATGAACAAACTTCAAATTTGTTTGCATGTTTAGCTCCCTGAGAAGAAAAGAAGAATTTCAGGAAGATTTTAGTTATTTAACATGACTACTTTCACATGGGAAAGCAAAGCAAAAAAAACCCCACAATTACACTTTGTACTCTCCTGTTGATTTCTGCATTAATTTCAAAGGAGGAATGAGTGAAAAGTGCTCATTTGGACTTTCACTAGAAATTTCTGGTTTAAAACTTCTCCTCCTGGGAAACAAGATATTTACCTTCTGCTGAATTGGCTAAAAGTGTCCCAAGAATGAACTGTTGATTTCTGCATCAAACTTGAGCTCTTCCACCACCCTGAAGACCTTACTCTGGCTCTACTCTACCAACATTATTCATCCTCCTCCTTTTATTCTTGTCTTCTGCCCCACCTAACCTTTCAACTTAATCTTCTCCCCCTCTATTCCATGCATGTACACCTCACCTTTACTCTGAATTTCTGCATTTTATTCAGAACTCTTTGAGCATATGCATTTGCATAAAATAGTTCACATCAGGCCACTTTACTGTAGCCTAGTGTCCAAAGGCAGGCTGCTTTATTGTCAAGAAATATGGTTTAGTCCTAATGATGGTGACCATCTAATTTAATGACACATCAGAGAAGGGATGGGGCGAGACAGAATGGGGACATGGCCAAAAATTATTCCCACCATGAAGAGCACAGAGCAATGGCCTCAAGCAGACAGTGATGTCTGCGGCAGAGTGAAGCACCCAGCTTCTGTGAACCATAAAGACAGAAATCAAGTCACCGATTTGCAACAATAAAAAAAATCACTACAGGCAGGTCCAAAACTATTACAATTTTGGAAGACAGCCCAATCCCTATACCCAAATCAAAAATGTTTATGTACGGCAGCATCACATGCTTTATTATTGAAGTTTATCTGTTCAGCAGTCAGTTTTCCACATGTAACCCAGAGCTTACTTAAAAACATAATTTAGGTAGATTTTGTTTCATACAATACCTATGGTAACAGATCTTTTTCAGATCCTCCATGTAACAGTCACAGATTTTCTTCAGAGGATCCTGTCTAAGGGGACTGGTGTCTACTAGATTCTCATTCCAAGAGCCATTCCATGGTTCAACACACTCTTCTATACATTTTATAATTTCCTTATCATGAGGAGAGGTGATCTGTGCTCCATTTTCCCAATAAACCTGGTATAAGTTCAAGGAAAACAAGACACAGTTTATTTACAAAGACTACTAACCTGATAAATTCTTTTAGCTATAGGATTCCGCATACTTCCTGCTTCTTGAAGTCATACAGAAAAGGCTAGCATCGGGCAATTGAGCAAAAGGTTCAACTCAAGTCATTTGGAATCACAGTTTGTTGTTTCAGTTATGTAGTGATAGCTACTCAGCAATACAATCTATTTGCAAAAAAGCTGGTATTCAACTATTACAATTGAAATCATCAGGACGTGAGAAACCGAAACTGGGCACTTACATTTGAGACCGTTGTGCAAACTGCAACAGAAGAAAAACATTACCTTCTACATAGTTTGGCATTCCTTTTGGAAAAGAAACACAACTTGGTTTTGAAATTGAAGCAAAACAGATAAGCAGTGTGCCAAGGTACATGTTTTCCCATAACTGAACAACTGTAATCTTTCAGCTGGAAACACTATCAAACCCTGAACTATAAAAAGTCTTTGTTAAAGAATTATTTAGATGCCAGTTTTCCCACAGTTGGTTTCCAACAGCATGGTTGAGTTCACAGTGCAGACTTTCTACTCAGACCAATCTGTCTCTCATCTTGTCTGCTGGCTTTCATGAAACCCATAGGTACTCAGTGTCTTCAAAACTATGGGTTTATCAAGTTTGGTTAAAATTGTCCAAAACCTTCAGAAACTGCTGAATTCATAGGGGAAGCCATGAAAGATAAAACAATTCTTGTGAATAGTGAAAGATAAAACAATTCTTGTGAGAGACTAGAAAAAACAATACCCAAACAAAAGTAAAATGCTTTGTATCAGAAGACACAAACTTAATTGCTTCTTGATAAATGAAGCACCTAGAAAACTGATGTGGCTTATTTTCTTATTCATTGCTATAGCTAAGCAAAAGTAAAGGCTGGGGAAGTACTTTACCACTTGTTCCACAGAGACAGAGTAAGGCTGGTTTTCGTTATCATTGCCATTACTCACTGACCTGTTACTAAGCTTCTAGAATGCTAAGTTCAGTTAAAGTTTAGAGTTTAGTTCAGATTCTTACAGAGTTTAGAAAGGAAACACTGCATTACAATACTGCATAAGCAGCATTTGCTGTTATGGGTGGTTATACTGTTCCCAAGCTTTCAAAATGAAGCCACCCACCTCTCTCTCAATGTCCAGAAAAACAACATTACAGGAGCAACACACTACTACAAAGTTTTATTAATCAACTCTTAAGCCATCACCATCTTCAGCAGTTATCTACAGTGTGGACTAATTCACCTAAGTTCTAGCCTAGTTTTAAACTCATTTGTAAGTCTAAGAAGTGAACACATAATAAATTGCTTAAGCACTACTTCAGCTGCTGATTAGACTCTATAGAAGGTCACAACAGACTGGTGCTCAAGATACATAAACAGTGTGGTCTTAAGTTCCAGTCGCAGAAGAAAGTCTGTGTAATTCAGGTTACAGAAGGATGAATTACTTGAAATCATTTCTCCTTCTAATGTATGCACACGCATGCTCCAGAAGAAGCCAAATACCAAAAGCAGGCAGGTAATACTGGAAAGCAGCTGGCTGTGACATGCTACGAACTTCAAGTCCAAGCCTTACCTTATACCCATTGTCCTCCTTCCGGTTGTGGGATGCTGTGATCATCACCCCAGCCACAGCTTTGAGCTGCTGAACAGCATAGGGCTACAAAGGAAACCCAGAAATGTTGATTTACCCAAGAGTTCATAACATTATACTATATATAATAATATTTATATATAACATTCTATTAGGACAGTTATGCAATAGGATGCTACAGGAGAAGTGGCTCTTAATGTCTCAGTTTATTTGAAAATTGTGTATGTGAATGCTCATTGTTCTGTTTCTTGCAGCTAGCAACAGAGAGAAAGCTCGTTCTATTCCATTGCATAGGAACGTTATTCCATTCACCAATTACATAAACACAATTTTTAACTGGCCAACTAAAAGAAAGTCTACACTCAGACTACTCTAGTATTTGAGAAAGAGAAAACAGGTTGAAACACAATGAAGGAATTCACCAAAAGGCTTGCTGAAAAATAAGTTACAGGTATTTCCAGCTAAAAAGCATCCAGTCCTTTCAGTCCTCCCCTCAAAACAAGATCCACAACACACTAGAAAAGCTTGCAGAATAGAAAACAAGGATTTAAAACCCTGCAAGAAAAACCTTCTGTGACTAGAACAAAAAGCTCTATTTTTGGAGGTATTAAAAGTAGAGGCAATCCTTCATTTCTTCCACTCTAAGCAATGTAAGTCTAAAAACATATAGTCCCTATATATGCGTATATATTTACACACACAAAAACATAATCTTTGACCCTCATGACAGCCAGGTGTTTAAGCACAGAATAAAAGAATAGCAGAATGCTTCACCTGTAACAAATAGAGCAAAGCCTGCACTGCAGTAACTATCATAGAATCTATCGTCCTCGCGTAGAGGCCTAGGGTGAAATGCGATTCTATTGACTATCTGCACACAGAAGAATTCAGCGACATTCTTGTTACAGCCTCCTTGAAGAGCCAAGTGTATCAAGCAGCCTCTATTTTTGTTTAACTAATGGAATTTGAGAAGAAAATTGCTAGTTCACACTTTTAGTCAACTTTCAAATACTCCCTTAACTGCATGGTTCAACCATATAAAAGAGAAGATGACTCACCACAAACGGTGTAGGGACGTACGTGGAAAAGAAGTACACAGGTACATCTTTAGCCAGTAGGACTGCTGCAGTGAGCTTTGCAAGTCTACCAACATGAAAAAGAAAATATGCAGTCAACCCAACTCCCCACGACAATCCACTAGCCATATGGCATGACTGTAACCTTCATTTCATTTGTTTCTTAAACCCCCTCGATTGTTTTTTGGCTTACACTAAGAGTAGTATCCTACAGTTTGTACAGCCAGTGTAATACAGTTTTCAGGCTGCAGAATCCCAGACAGTGCTTTTATTCATTGCTTGAAGAGCGCAAGGCACTTCAAGTCAACCACGTAAATAAACCAGTGATATTAAAAACAAAGATACAGAACCTAATGGTGTGACGCTTGTCCTTCATTCAAGGACAGAACCAATCTCCCAGAAAGTTTAAAGTGCCAGATGTCTGCAACAGCAGGTTTGGAAAAGGATTGGGTATCCCACACAGCAAAGCTTGTTTGCCAGCCTTGTTCAGCAGCTTCAGACAATATCCATGAAGCAGATCCATTCCTAAAATACACTTCTGCAAACCAGCACACTCTTATTCCAGAAAGTTTAGAAACAGTAAGAGCACCTGTGTTTTTAAACCTTGCCTTTATAATAAACTTTCCCTTTCAAGCAGCAGGGAAACTCATTCTCTTTCAGGCAACTGTTTGACATGAAACTGTTCTTTTCAAGTCAGGTACACACAGCTCAGCAGTTAATGGGAAATCTCAGAGTCGAAACAGATGAGAGATTAAATAGTGTAAGTTTGCTTTGCTCACTCATTTTTACAGACAAGCATTAATACTTGCTTCCTTATCTCCCATGATGAGTATGCTGTAGTCTAATTTCAGTTACTCAGAATTTCACTATAGCACCTATCAAATGTAACCTGAAGCTCCTTAAAAGAGTTTGAGAGCTCTACTTGTAGTTGAAGCTACTGAAATTTTGCTTGTGCACCCAAGGTTTACGTCAACTTAATTACAAGATACAGCCAGACAGTCTGCCATCTCCCTCAGCACTCGAGCTGGTGCTAAGAAAGGGGCACTCCTGCTCATGTAGTGCTGGATAAGTACGCTGATCCAATTGAAAACACCCTTTTGGGGAGGTTCAGTTTGATTTTAGCACTACTGTAACTGTGCGTCATCCCAAGGGGACAAAAGAAACATGTGGTTGAGAACCGCTTTGCTCCTTTGACATGTGGAACACTAGGACTGCGCTGCCATCAAGTCTGAATTCCAAGCTTTGTGTGGCTGAAAAGCAATGTTTTTCTTACACCTCCACATTTTTAAGCTGTGCATAACCCAGACAATTTGCGTAACAGTCTTGCAAACACAGTGTAACAGATGAGTTTATCCACCAGGCTTTGACATAAGGGTTTTAATGTGCCACATGTATCTGAAGACCAGACAGGAAGGCGTGGAGAGGCAGACTTCAGGGGAATGGAGAAACTCTTACAAGACAGTCACTAGATTCTCTGCTCTATTATACCAAGAACTTTTACATCCCTAGAATATTAAATGTTGACAAAAATTTCACCCCCCCATTAATTACAACAATAAACTACAATAACTACATTAACTACAATAATTAACTACTCATTAACTAAATAATTAGCTACTGGGTTGGCTTTTTTGTAAAGCATGCTATTACAACATGTGTTTTGCTCCCCAAATGACACGGGATTAGGAGTCCTTATAGAATTCAAAAAGCAGTTTTTGCAGATCCTCTCTCCCCTTTCCTTGCAAAGTGCACAATTTGGCATCACTGCAAGTTTTAAGCATTCCAGGTAAAATATTCCCAATGTGGAAATACACTGAGATGGCAGACTAGCATAAGAGTACCAAAACACTGGGTTACAGTAGGCTGCACGTAGAATTCTTCTCCCCCAAGCAAGCTTAAATCAGATGCGTAGTACAAAAGAACGACAGCGTTAACAATAGTGCATTAATATTTAGTGATTTCAAGCTAGATGTTAGTATTCTGAATTTACCTTCACATTCAAATTTCTCTCCGGGCATATCAACTTCTTAATGTCTGCCTAATGTTCTTGTGTATTTAGACTGTAAATTCTTTGGTGAAGTGACCAGCCTTACATTCCATATTTGCTGGCAACTGGTATTATAAAGGCTTTAGTCCATGCCTCTCTTCATTACTATTTAAATGGACTAAGGGAGGGGAAAGAG